GCCAGATATACTGAGTTTAAGTACCCTAAAGTCTGCGTTGAAATGACCCTCTGTTTTTCCCATAAAATACAAAGATTATATAGGGAAATACAACTGGTCAGTTTTGACCCCTTTACGAAGTTTTCCCAGATATGCCGAGTTTTTTGTGACACCCCTAGGTGTTCTCCTACCACCCCACAAAATATCAAGGGGGGGTCGTCGGAGGAAATTTTTTTTCGTAATAGAGCTCATATAAAGAGAATTTCACTCGCGGTCACTTTTTAGCCCTCGTCGAGGGCTTTGAGTGAAACCGATAGTTTTCCATAAAGGTCAAGCCATTTCCCTATATGCATGCCAAAAATTAGCCAGACATACTGAGTTTAAGTACCCTAAAGTCTGCGTTGAAATGACCCTCTGTTTTTCCCATAAAATACAAAGATTATATAGGGAAATACAACTGGTCAGTTTTGACCCCTTTACGAAGTTTTCCCAGATATGCCGAGTTTTTTGTGACACCCCTAGGTGTTCTCCTACCACCCCACAAAATATCAAGGGGGGGTCGTCGGAGGAAATTTTTTTTCGTAATAGAGCTCATATAAAGAAAATTTCACTCGCGGTCACTTTTTAGCCCTCGTCGAGGGCTTTGAGTGAAACCGACAGTTTTCCCTAAAGGTCAAGCCATTTCCCTATATGCATGCCAAAAATTAGCCAGATATACTGCGTTTAAGTACTCTAAAGTCTACGTTGAAATGACCCTCTGTTTTTCCCATAAAATACAAAGATTATATAGGGAAATACAACTGGTCAGTTTTGACCCCTTTACGAAGTTTTCCCAGATATGCCGAGTTTTTTGTGACACCCCTAGGTGTTCTCCTACCACCTCACAAAATATCAAGGGGGGTCGTCGGAGGAAAATTTTTTTTGACCCCCTCTCGCTAGACTTTTCGGCCAACCGTCACCGGCCCTCGTGTTCTATCGCCCCAAGGCACCATCGTGCCAAATTTGACGCGCCTGCGGCGCCGGGAAGTGCCCTATAGGGGACCCGACCACTTTGCTTTATATATATAGATATATATATATATATACATATATATATATATATATATATATATATATATATATATATATATATATATATATATATATATATATATATATATATATATATATATATATATATATAGACCACCTGTGATCAAAGACCCTCTGTTGAGAAAACACCTATGGTCAAACCCCCTATGATCAAACCCCCAATGATCAAAGCACCGCTATGGTAAAAGGCCCGCTGTGGTCAAACCCCCTATGGTCAAATCCCCTATGGTCAAAGCACCTGTGGTCAAAGCACCTGTGGTCAAAGGTCCTAGGACCCACAAACAGACCGACAGAAGGAGAGACACATTAATAAATTCAAACTCACAAAGTAACACGTAAAACAATGTCAACACTCCGAAACACAGATCTTAAGCACACCGCTTAAGGTAAAAAGGAATGTCTTTTTTTTTTCTTTTTTTACGGCATGTACGTATGACGTTAAAAACAAAAGCCTGGGGGGGGGGGGGATAAAAGATGCATAAAACCTCACCTTGAACATTTATTCTGTACACACAGGTAGTGGGGATGTTTTGTAATATACTAAGCCAATCGTCTCGCTTGACTAACACTGAAGTATGCAGTAAAACCTGTCTTGTCAACTGGACATTAGATAAACAACCACATGTTTAAACACCTTGTTTGCTAAGGGTAAAGTCAGTGGCGTTAAGTCAACTTGACTTTAGATAAACAACCACATGTTTAAACACCTTGTTTGCTAAGGGTAAAGTCAGTGGCGTTAAGTCAAATTGACTTTAGATAAACAACCACATGTTTAAACACCTTGTTTGCTAAGGGTAAAGTCAGTGGCGTTAAGTCAACTTGACTTTAGATAAACAACCACATGTTTAATACACCTTGTTTGCTAAGGGTAAAGTCAGTGGCGTTAAGTCAACTTGACTTTAGATAAACAACCACATGTTTAAACACCTTGTTTGCTAAGGGTAAAGTCAATCGCGTTAAGTCAACTTGACTTTAGATAAACAACCACATGTTTAAACACCTTGTTTGCTAAGGGTAAAGTCAGTGGCGTTAAGTCAAATTGACTTTAGATAAACAACCACATGTTTAAACACCTTGTTTGCTAAGGGTACAGTCAGTGGCGTTAAGTCAACTTGACTTTAGATAAACAACCACATGTTTAATACACCTTGTTTGCTAAGTGTAAAGTCAGTGGCGTTAAGTCAACTGGAATTTAGATAAACAACCACATTTTTAAACACCTTGTTTGCTAAGGGTAAAGTCAGTGGCGTTAAGTCAACTTGACTTTAGATAAACAACCACATGTTTAATACACCTTGTTTGCTAAGGGTAAAGTCAGTGGCGTTAAGTCAACTTGACTTTAGATAAACAACCACATGTTTAATACACCTTGTTTGCTAAGGGCACATTCAGTGGCGTTAAAATGTTGGTGGCGCAGGAAGTAAGGAGGGTGGTTTTAGTTACGTACAGGTTTAAATTATTTTTCGAGGTGAAACCACGACGACAAACAATTTTTCTTTCCAGTTAATGTAACAGTAGAGGGGGAGGTGGTAACACCAAACTGAAATTGCAAAATAGTTAGAGAGGAAGGTGACAATCCCAGATACCATACTGAATGACTTCCGGCCAATGGCAGCCACTTGATGCGACAAAGTATATTTTAACATAAACACTTTAACAACAGCAACAGTTATATTTGAGTCGAATTTATTTAGCTTGTGTCATTAGAATGGTAATCTAAGCACGATAATTTGGACAGAAAGGCCATACACTCAGCTGCTGATGTTACGTTACTACAGTCTTTTTATCAACTTTTTAAAATGAACAATTTGCAACAGCTTTAGTTTAACCAATATTATATTTTATCAAATACATCAAAGACAGCGCTTGAACAAAAACAAGAAATAATATAGATATGATATAAATACATTTAGTGATAAACTTAAAACATTATACATTTTTTGCAAAAACATCATCTTTTATCGTTCGTGCTAAAGTCAAAATGGTGAGTTGGAGTAGTGTTTATCTGTTTCAGTGACCTCGGAATACAAGGTCATAGTGTGGTCAGCACTATGCCTAACCGTCTTTTTTTCCCCAAAATAAGTAAGATACTCATCAATGTTGGTGGGACTAAGAACTTCGAAAAGTCACTACACTGAACCGAGATCTTCTGACTAGCAGCCTAGCGCTCTACCGTTCGACCATGACAACCCCAATATATAAAGAATCATATATAACAGAAAATATGAGTTTATATTTTTTTGTTTATTTTTATTATTATATCATATATATATATATATATATATATATATATATATATATATATATATATATATATATATGTATATATATATATATATATATATATATAAATTTATATTTATATATATATATATATATATATATATATATATATATATAAATTTATATTTATATATATATATATATATATATATAATATATAAAGCTCAATTCTGTATGTAAAAATAAGTTTGTTTGTCGTTGACATACTTCGATGGATTTAAGTGTTAGACTATTATCGTACTCATAGTCTAAATTTATAAGATAAAAAATTACCATTGAAAGTGTAGGGAAATAATTTTCATTTTTCAAACTGATAGTAATAATTGTCGGCATGTTCATTAAACAAAAATTTTTAAAAATAACAAAAATTCTAATTATGTCTGAAAATTATTTATATTTAGTCCTTCATCACTTACTTCCCTTTGATAAATTAGGAAAACACAATTACTTCCCTTTATAAAACATTGCATTAGTGGAAAAGAATTTACTTTTTATTACTTTGTTTTGGCGTTGGGAAAAAAATAATTACATAATTAGCGGGCATTGATCAAGTGCAAATGTTGTAGGTATTTTACGAATAAGCTTGGAGTTTTATAATTGTTCACTTGGTTTGGTTTGGCACCTACGTTCGTTTAAGTGAGTGCAAAAGACTATGAATAAGTTGGGGCACTGTTTTAAGCTAAAACAGGCGATTCTGCCCCGGGCTAGACTGTGAGCACTTTGCGTTTATGTTCGCGTTAGTGTTTTCTTTGTGTTTAGGTTGGGTTTGCGTTAGTAGTTGCGTTTTGATTTGGTTCGTTTTCGTTCTTTCTTTTTTCGTTTTCGTTTGTGTTTTTTTCTTTTGGTTTGTGTTTGTATTTGTGTTTGTGGTTGGTTTTGCGTTTCTATTCGGTTTGTTTTCGTTTGCTTTTTCGTTTGTGTTTTTTTTCTTTGGGTTTGTGTTTGTGGTTGGTTTTGCGTTTGATTTGGTTTGTTTTCGTTTGCTTTTTCGTTTGTTTTTTCTTTGTGTTCGTATTGGTGTTTGTGGTTGTGGTTGGGCTTGTTGTTAGGATTTTGTTTTCGTTTGTATTTGTAATTGTGTTAGCGTTATGTTTGCGTTTTGTTGTTTTGGTTGGTTTTGGTTTGGGTGGGCAATGCCGGGTTTATGATGATTACTAAACACACAGGTAAAGGTCTTTAAATGAAAGGTTTTTCACAGAAGTCAGAGCAGGGCCTGGCCGGGACGGCTAGTATATACATATATATATATATATATATATATATATATATATATATATATATATATATATATATATATATATATATATATATATATATATATATATAATGTTATATTTTATTATGGAAATTACCGCTTGATGCACAACAACGTGAGAACCATTTTGTTACGTGCCCAAGTTAGACTCTAATGTAATAGCACAGGTAAAACTGAGCAACACATTTAAGCAATAAGCAAAGATACTATCAGACCCGAGGCATTTTTTTGTGAAAACAAAAACCATTAAAACATCTCACACTCTCCACTCAAGTGATGCAATGTTTTCATTGGCTGCAAAACAACATAAGGAAAACCAATCGGTGACTCCCAGTGTTTTTATAAAACGAAGGAAAAAACGATGGTAACTATTAACGGTTATGCATATAGGTTGTATAGAACAGGATATTAAATTGTGCAGACCGAGAGCGATTGTAAAGAAAGCTACTCATTAGTCAAGACCGAAACTTTCATTTACAAGTAGCTTATTTAATGAAGTAAAAATTGATTGCATATATTTTAGGTTAAATAGCTTATGTGCAGTTTTTCTTATTAAAACAGTAGGCCTATACATTTTTAAATTTAAAAAAAAAAAAAAAAAAAAAAAAAAAAAAAAAAAAATCAGTGTGTGGTTCTTGTTTTGAAGAGTTTATTTCTTTCTTCCACAAGAGGAAATGTCACTTCCAGGTGGAATCAGTTTATGGAACCTGCTCAGTGTTTTCCTTCTGTTCGTTGGGAATGTCCTTCACATTGTAGGCTTGGCGACCCCAGAATGGTCAACGGCTAATGTTGTAGGTATATCATACAGCGCCGGCTTATGGAAGGGATGTTCAGATGGTTTGTGTGTGGATTACCCTCAGAAACCTGGTGAGTTATAAAACATCTACACATTTTTCATGCGCCGGCTTTCACTACTAGATGCATTACGATCAATTATATGTAAGGAGCATTGCTCGTTCTTGATGCTTTAAAATCACAAACACACACACACACATATATATATTTATTTATATATATATATATATATATATATATATATATATATATATATATATATATATATATATATATTTATATATATATATATATATATATATATATATATATATATATTTGAGTGTGTATTTTAAAATTTAAATAAATACGTTTTTTTTATTTCTCGTATATACGAAGTAGGCCTATAGAGAAAGTCTTGTTATCGTGCAAAAAAACAAATAGAGATTTTTACAAATCTCGACTTTTTTACACCTCACTGATACTGAAAAACATAATTTTGCAATCTTGTCCGTATGTCTGTGTGTCTGTGTGTCTGTGTGTTTGTCTGTCAGTGTGTAAACACGATATTTTGAGTACCGTTACAGCTAGGTTGATGACATTTCATATATAATTATTTTATCAAAGTCGTAGATCTGTATCAATGTTTGAGCGATTTACGATAACCGGAAATTGTACTTTTTTTACTTTGAATTTTTCAAGAGCCTATAACTTGGGCACTATTTTAGATAGATAAATGAAATTTGACATGTAAGTAAAAGATATAGATCTTTACCTTCTACCAAATATTGAGTAATTTCCCTTGACCGGAAGTATTAATTTACGCTATTTCCGATTTCTCAAAAAACGCATGTAAATTTATATAGAACTCATAATATTGCGCACTATTATGCACATTTTGTTTTGGCGTTAGCTTGGTGCGCAATTCTTTTTTTTTTACTAGCTTTAATTCTATTTTTAAAAGTTTAAGTAAACAAAAAGCATATCTATATTTCGAGATGCAATCCCACATAGTGTTATATTAGATTCTAATCAATAAACGATTGCAACTAGTCCTAGTTCCTTCAAAAGCAGCAGTAGTCACCCTGTTAAACCATCCGTCAAATATAATTTGTTGTCAGTACTTATAACTTGTAATCAGTATTTCAAGGCAAGTTGGTTTTTAACTTATTACGCAATATATTAAACTTTTTCTTTGATTGTTTCATATTTTTGTATCAATTTAAACGTTAGCTGAGTAAGCTATGGTACTGGTCTAATAACATCCCTTGATGCTTATAACTATTTTTTAATAGACGAAAACAATGATTATTGTTTGAGAAATTCAGATCAACATTACAAATAACAATTTTTACTTTTGTTTTTAAGGTATTTTAAAATATACAATTGTTTATAAAAAATAGTTACCCTTTTTTAAAATGTGTTAAATTAATGGAAAACAATTTGTCTTTACAAGTTTACATTTGTTTAAAATCACAAGTACACAACTTAATAAATATTCTTGATCCGATTAAAAAATAATTTAAAATTTTTCAGCCGCCCTTGAAGCTTGCGAAGCCATGGCCATCATTGGCATGTTGTTCAGCTTTTTTGCTATAGCAGCGGTTGGGATTGGAATATATTTCAAAATCACAGGAACACCTACGGTAGCGAAATTTCATCACTTTGCAACAGTAATGTCCATCATATCACGTAAGGTTGTTTCTGTTTTTTTAATCTTAAAGCAACATAATAACTTTCGTGTTGATTTTAACCTAATATTGTAGAATACAAGAAAGAAAAGTTCCCATTTAGATCTAACGCTCCATATTGCAGATGAAGTAGAGTTCATAATGTGTAACCTCGGCATATATATGGCTGGTAGGTTGGTCACCAAACAGTTCTACGGCTCAATAAAACATGCATGAGCCTAATAACTGTTTATTGACCTACTTACCAGCCCTATAGGGAAGGTACGATTTTCATTATATTCAGTCGTCTCTCTTTTACAAATAATGTGTTGTCAGAATAGAAATGCATTATATAAATAATCATTTCGTACATGTTAGAGAAGTAAATATTAATAAAAAATATTCTTTCTATTTTCAAAACTGTATCGGGAGCCTCCGTTATTCCACATAATAGTTATTTTCAAAATAATCTTTTAGGACGCGACGAGCAGTGTTTCTTCTAGACTTTTTTCTCCGGGGGTGCACTTGAAATTTTCAGGGGGGGGGGGGGGGCGGACAACAATTTTCGGGGGGGGGGCACTGTCAAAGGTATATATTTTCTATATAAATTCGCATTCCGTTCGGGGAGGGGGAGGGGCGGTAGACTTTCTTCGAGGGATGGGGGCGGTGCCCACCGAGAAGAGATGCCTGGAAGAAACCCTGGTGACGAAAGACAATTGTGACTTGCCACGACTTAATTGCGGTTGAAACCGGTTTACGGTGTAATTTATTTTAAATAGAAGTTAGTGCTTATAATGTTTAAACCAGCTACGGTAAAACGTTATCAACAAATTTCCCTAACAAGTAAATTATATATATATATATATATATATATATATATATATATATATATATATATATATATATATATATATATATATATATATATATACCTTTTCAGTTGTGTTTATCTTGATTGGCGTCATAGTATGGGGAGCTGAATTGCACGATTCAAATTATTATATGAAGATTGGCTATTCGTTTATCCTGAGTATCGTGGGCGGCATTCTCATAGCCATCGGAGGGGTGATGTACAGCTGTACTATTACTAATGTGGATTAAAAAAGACAACAGGCTTCATTAATTTAATACGTATTCTGTTCAATCAACTGTTTATATATATATATATATATATATATATATATATATATATATATATATATATATATATATATATATATATATATATATATATATGTTATACGTATTTTGTTCAGGCAACTGTTATATTACTTAACGAATTATTTTACTTGCTTTATATTTCGTTTTTTTTTAAATTACTTATTGAATATTGATTAACAATGTAATTTTAGAAATATGTTAAGACGCTGACGGTCACTATTGCAAAGGAGTAGCTTTCACATGTGTTTATGACCGTGGGTAAAATTGAGTACCTACAGATAAAGCGCATGCTGCTTCAAAATATGAAAATTGACTTGAGGTTTGTTTGTTTTTGATAACATATTATGCTGTCTTTCCTGTTCGCATTTTTTTCGAGGTTCACAAATTATAAGTAAAAATATAAAAACAGCAACTTTGTAATTTCTTTTTTAATACTAATATTAAAGAAATGTGTTTTGTTTATTAATTATAAGTAAAAATATAAATATAAACAAATCTTTTTAATGCACCTTTTAAAAAAGTAAATAAAAATAAATAAAAGAAACATGTTTTGTATAGTAACTACACTTTTCGTTAAGTCAAATTAGACGGTTGTTTTTAAACTAAATTTCGAACTTATTTTAAATGGCTAATTTCACTAAACTCATAGGGGTCGAGTCGGTAAAGCTCATGGTTGCTAAACCGGAGACTAAACTCATTTGATTGCAAATTATATATTCGCGTGTTGTGTTTACAGACGAATATATCTGAAAAGTTTTTATAGTTGTTAAGGAGTGAGTAAAATTGAGCAACAAAATTAGGCCGAACTGAATGGAGACATTTTGAACAATCTTGAACTAAATGAAATCCTCAAAAAAATCCCCGTGAATAAACGCGTAGGTCCCACACTCAAATGTAATAAACCGGGAGTGATCTCCCCTAAACTTTCTCGAATATTCTTATATAAAATAACAGGGGATGGGAACTCGGGCTATAGACATGATTTTTAATCCATTTTAAATACTTAAAGTTTTAAAAATATAATAAAATCTCGTAGACAAATTAATTGCACACCAAGTGAACGCCAAATAAAAAAGCTCATAATAGTGCGCAATATTATTAGTACTTTTAAAATTTACATTAGTTTTTTGAGAAATCGGAAGTAGCGTAAAGTACTACTTCCAGTCAACGGAAATTATTCAAAATTTAACAGAAGGTAGAGAATTAGATCTTTTACTTACATGTGAAATTTCATTTATCTATCTGAAACAGTACTCAAGTTATAGGCTTTTGAAAAATTCAAAGTATGAAAAGTACCACTTCCGGTTATCGGAAATCGCTCAAAAGTTGATACGGATCTACGATTTTGATAAAATACTTATATATGAAATTTCATCAACCTAGCTGTAACGGTACTCAAGTTATCGTGTTTACACACGGACAGACAGACAGACAGACAGACACACAGACAGACACACAGACATACGGACAAGATTGCAAAATTATGTTTTTCCGTATCAGTGAGGTGTAAAACGTCGAGATTTGTAAAAATCTCGATTTTTTTTTTGCACGATTACAAGACTTTCTCTATACTTCGTATATACGAGAAAGTAAAAATCTAAAGTGAAATCTTTAATCACGACGTTCTTTATTTTTTAAAAGCCATACAGGATTGTCGCTAAAATCTAAGTCGGGTTGGGAGGGGGGGGGGAATTTGATGGATAAAATCTCAACTCTTTCTTCTTGTCAACGTATATGTTGTGTTTAACCACGGCCAATCGTCTCGCTTCGTTTACATCGTATAACGCTTTACAATCTAATATGTAAAAAGGACTTTAAATACAAGAAAATAAACGCGAGAAACATTTCGTTGTTTATTAAGGACAGTAACATTCAAGTTAAATTTTCGCTTCTACCACTGCCTTATCAAGCGTATTAAAACCTAAAGACGTTATGACTTTGATTATGCTTGCATTTAACATTTTCTTTCAGTGGGTCTTATAAACATACCCTTCTTCAATTTAGACACGACTTTTCTGTTCTTTCACCGGGTCTTATAAACATATCCTTCTTCAATTTAGACACGACTTTACTGTTTTTTCAGTGGGTCTTATAAACATATCCTTCTTCAATTTAGACACGACTTTACTGTTTTTTCAGTGGGTCTTATAAACATATCCTTCTTCAATTTAGACACGACTTTCTTCTTGTGAAACATGGCCAGAGGGCTGAATTTGGTGGCCATTACGTATGATGTTTGTCGGCGTGTTTACGTTACGCGTTCTCGAAAACATTGCTTTCAGTTTTGACAGGTACAGGAAAGTCAAATTGAACACGTCAAGGTAAAGGGAGTGTTGGAGTAGCGGCTATATATTTTAATCATCATAATGTATGATTTTCGTTGAGGTTGTTTCTGGAGGGGAAGGTGTGGTGAAGAGGAGGGTGGGTGATGTTGAATTAAGTGCAGTTATTAATATAAACATCCGCAACAAACATTGTTATTCGCCATGTATCTTTTAAGACATACCAACATCATTAATAAGAATATAATTGACAATAAACGTGTTTGGTTTTATTGGACAGCGTGGCCTAGCGGTAGAGAGCTAGATAGCTAATCTGAAAGTCTCGATTTTGAATCCGGGTTCAAGTCAGTAGAAGGCTACATCAGAGTTGTGTACTGAACTCAATTTAGGTAAAATCAAGGCGGCAGGGTACAGTGATGACCACACTATCACTTCATATGCCAAGTATACAGTAACAGCTGAACTCTACTTCACCCGCCCCATATGCGTTTTGAAAGTGAATTTGACTTTTGTTTTTTTCTAACGAGACATGTGGTAGACAAACAAAAAAAGGCTGCAGCTGAGGCTTCAAATGTATGCTGTATGACTCTATAGAGCATACTTGCCACATAGCTTTCCACTGCTATTTTTAGAAATATATGCTGGATCGTCCCGTGGATTTGATAAAGGTAGAAGTGGAACAGAAAACCCTCCACCGAGCGTTAAAGCATTAGCTGCTTGTGACTATTAAATACGAGAAAAATGGCCCGTTGAGGTAGGATACAACGGGCGCTAGGTTGATAGTGTTGTCTCTTTTCTCTAAACCAAAACCAAAGCCACCACCTTAACCTCAAATTGAATCGGAAACGACACATTTCTTTGAAAACGGATTTTTAGCAAGAATTGTCATTTAAGCTTGATCTACACTTAGTTACCGCGCATTGATACTAAATACCGTCGTAGCCACACCCTTAAGCCATGCACATGATCTCAATCATGAAAAAACTCGCATTTGGAGTTTCTTTCAGGCGACTCTACTTGGGGATTGGGGGCTCCGCCCCGCCCCCCCCCCCCCTTCCCCCCGACCCAAAGCAAATCTACCGTCCCATTCAACGAAATATAATTATATAATTTTTCCATTTTCCGCCCACTCCCAGAAAATGCCACCCCTGCCCCCGAAAATTTTCAAGTAACCCCCCCCCCCCCTCCCTCTCTGCTGATGAAAAAGTCTGAAAGAAACACTGGTCGCATTTGTAGATCATTCAAACTAATGGTAGAAACTGTGCACGCATAGCACTTTTTAGATTAGAAAATTTAAAGTTCCCCTCTCCTCGGAGGAAAAAGTCTGAAAGAAAAACTGGTGTCGCTCTTAGCCACTACCCGAAGATTTCTATGAAAGAAACTCTAAATGCAAAACACTTTTAAGTTTATACACACTAATTATGCCGAAATGTCAGTCTTTTTTATTATAGAGTATCGATGACGTCATATCTTTTGAGTTGGGGTTGGGGGGGGGGGGGGGACGGCTTTGATATTCTACCGGGGGGAGGGCTTTTACCAACTAACCGAAGAATTGTATGAAACTCTTCACGCAAACCACTCCTAAGATTAGACAAAATTGCCTTTTTATTCAATGTTTACTCGAGAATCAATGACGTCATATTACTGTGTGCAATCTACGGCTTGATATTATTTTCTACTATATGCTAAATGTGACGTAATATTTCGTTTTCGTTTCACTGTGAAAGTTTTTAAATTGCTTGTGTTTTCTCTAGAGCGTTCTTGACAGATAGATACATAGATACATAGATACACAAACAGCGAAACTATTGTATAGAACGAGAAAAATGGCCCGTTGAGGAAGGATACAACGGGCGCTAGGTTGATAGTGCTGTCTCTTTTCTCTAAACTAAAATCAATCCCCACCCCCCCACACACACACTCCAAAACATGTCTACCGTCCCATTCAACGAAATATAATTATATACTTTTTTCCAGTGTCCGCCCCCTCCCCGAAAATTCTACCCCCGCCCCCGAAAATTTCAAGTACCCCCCACCCATCTCCGGGGAGGAAAAAGTCTGAAAGAAACACTGGTCGCATTTGTAGATCATACAAACTAAAGGAAGAACCTGGGCGGTGCTTCGCCCCTACCGGAAGAGATGCATGAAAAAACTGCACGCTAAACACTTTTTTTAGATTAGAAAAATTCCTCACTCCGGGGAGGAAAAAGTCTGAAAGAAACACTGGTGTCGCGCTTAGCCACTACCCGAAGAATTGCATGAAACTCTGCACGCAAACCACTTTTTAGATTAGACACATTAATTAGGCGGTAATTTTATTATAGAGTATCGATAAAGAAATTGGGGAGGGGGCAGGGGGCTTAGACGTTCTTAAGCGGGGGTGGGGCTTCGCCCCTACCCGAAGAATTGTATGAAAGAAACTCTTCACGCAAACCACTTGGATTAGACAAAAATGGCTTTTTTAAATTCAATGTTTACTCGAGAATCAATGGCGTCATATTACTGTGTGCAATCTCCGGCTTGATATTATTTTCTACTACATGCTCAATATGACGTCATATTTCGTTTCCGTATTACTATGCATGTTTATAAATTGCTTGTGTTTTTAATCTAGAGCGTTCTTGCCAGATACATAGATAGATAAATAGATAGATAGATAGACAGATACATACGACAGACAGCGAAAATATTATATAGAATTAACTCACACTCAATTTCTTACCTAAAAGTGTGTCTTAATGAGACTCTAAGACAGCTGTTAAATGTGTTAAATGCTTTTCTATTGCATTCATCTGCTTTTCTAAATGAAACATTAAACATAAATTATTGTGTCAAATATAAAATAAAAATGTCGTTACTTGACGTATCAGTTACTACGTTTTGGAAATTAAAAATGAGAGTAATAATATGTATTTGATTAAAAACATTAAAATACTAGATAAATGGCCCGTTGAGGAAGGGTACAACGGGCGCTAGGCTGATAGTGCTGTCTCTTTTCTCTAAACTAAAACCAACCCACCCCCCACACACCACCCCCACCCCACCCCCCACCCCCACACACCACCCCCACCCCCCACCACACACCACCCCCACCCCAACCCCTCACCCCCACACACCACCCCCTCCACACACCGCCCCCCACCCCCCACCCCCCCCAAAAAAACATGTCTACCGTCCCATTCAACGAAATATAATTATATACTTTTTCCAGTGTCCGCCCCCTCCCAGAATATTCTACCCCCGCCCCCGAAAATTTCAAGTACCCCCCACCCCTCTCCGGGGAGGAAAAAGTCTGAAAGAAACACTAAAAACCAACCCACCCCCCCACACACCACCCCCCACCCCTACACACCACCCCCCCCCACCCCTCCACCCCTCCCCCCCCCCCCCCCCCCCAACCCTCCCAAAAAAAAAACATGTCTACCTTCCCATTGCAAGAAAACCACTTTTTAGATTAGACACATTAATTAGGCTGTAATTTTATTATAGAGTATCGATGAGGAAATTTCTTTTGAGTTGGGGAGGGGGGGGGGGCTCAGACGTTCTTACGCGGGGGGTGGGGCTTCGCCCCTACCCGAAGAATTGTATGCAAGAAACTCTTCACGCAAACCATTTAGATTAGACAACATTTCCTTTTTTTCAATGTTTACGCGATAATCAATGACGTCATATTACTGTGTGCACTCTCTGGTTTGAGATTATGTTCTACTCTACGCTAAATGTGTCGACGTCATATTTCGTTTTTCGAATTACTGTGCATGTTTTTATTTTGCTTGTGTTTTCTCTAGAGCGTTCTTGTCAGACAGAGCGTTCTTGACAGACAGCGAAACTATTATTATAGACGAGAAAAATGGCCCGTTGAGGAAGGTTACAACGGGCGCTAGGCTGATAGTGCTGTCTCTTTTCTCTAAACTAAAACCAACCCACCCCCCCCACACACCCCCCCCACCCCACCCCCCCACCCCCACACACCACCCCCAACCCAACCCCTCAACCCCACACACCACCCCCACCCCCACCACACACCACCCCCACCCCCACCCCTCACCCCCACACACCACCCCAATCCCCCCCCCCCACACCCCCCCACCCCTCCACCCCTCCACCCCCCCTTCCCCCCCCCCTCCCCCCAAAAAAAAACATGTCTACCGTCCCATTGCAAGAAAACCACTTTTTAGATTAGACACATTAATTAGGCGGTAATTTTATTATAGAGTATCGATGAGGAAATTTCTTTTGAGTTGTGGAGGGGGGGGGGGGGGGCTCAGACGTTCTTACGCGGGGGGTGGGGCTTCGCCCCTACCCGAAGAATTGTATGCAAGAAACTCTTCACGCAAACCATTTAGATTAGACAACATTTCCTTTTTTTCAATGTTTACGCGATAATCAATGACGTCATTTTACTGTGTGCACTCTCTGGTTTGAGATTATGTTCTACTCTACGCTAAATGTGTCGACGTCATATTTCGTTTTTCGAATTACTGTGCATGTTTTTATTTTGCTTGTGTTTTCTCTAGAGCGTTCTTGTCAGACAGAGCGTTCTTGTCAGACAGAGCGTTCTTGTCAGATAGACAGACAGCGAAACTATTATTATAGATGTGTTACTATTTGTATTTATGAATATGTTGTCTCCGTACAATGCATCGCTATGTAAATAAAATTGTTGTTATTTCTTCTTCTTCTTCGTTCTTAATTTTAGTGTTGTAAGGGATCCTCTTCAACACAATTAAGTATACGTGTCAACTGGTTATGCGCCATTGAGGCCATTGGCTCCGATTTCAGCCTGCTTTTCTTTTTGGATTTGCTTCCATAGCCTTTGTCATAAGAAGAACAAACTACAAGGCAGCAGTTGTTTGATTTTGGAGTTGTCTCTCCTAGAAGAGTGGCTGTCCCCGGTTAACGAACATCATCTACCCGAGGTTTCGAAACTCGAGACTTTTCGGTTTAGCAACAATGTGTTTTACCGACCCGACCACGCCGAACCCTTTATGGTCGTTATGAAGTGTATGTTAAGTTAGAAGATTATGTGTGCTGTGAGATGATTTTTGTAATAAATAAAAGATTTATGTTACAAGAATGTGACGTTTCAGTGTTGGTTCGTTGTTGCATGGGAAGAAGGTTAGATAGCCTTGCACCTTGTTGTGTGAAGTCGTGTATGTTGTCAAGTCTTAGTATCGTTTTTTCAAGTCGTCGTGTGTATTTTTATAGTGCAATAAAAAGTGTAGTGAACTAATGTCATCCGGTCTAGTCATTTTTCTGTGGTGATATCGTCGTGGTTTAAGTCGGAACTCTTGGATGAACTGTTGAATGGTTAGAGATGAAATATCATGGTAGGGATACCCTCTCACTGCATAACTGCCGGATACATAGTCCCTTAGTTATACAATTGGTGTCATTGTCTTCATAATACAATGTGTTAAAATCGGCTCGGAAAATCAATAGAAACATTTTCCCAAAAGGATAAAACAATAGAAATCTTAAAATTAACTAAATCTTTGTTTTTAGACGAGAAAGTATGTGAATCTAGGATTTTTTTAATACTGATAGCCATCTAATTATCAAAGAAAAATAACCTTGATTTTATTGCCCGTATTTAATTAATGTAGACATAAGACAGAAAACTGATGCATTGTTTGCTATATTAGTTGATGTGTAAATGCTTTTGCGATAGACAAAATTCACATTTCTCTTTAGATTTTTATTTATCTTCAAAAGTCTGTGACGATGCAATCGTAATTTCTTTTCGACTAAATATAACATTTTGATCCATAATCATGAGATTTTGTTACGTTGTCATATGAGACACATGGTTCTGCAAAGTTGTAACTATGTTACTGCAGCAGATTTGTATTAAAATAAACATACACGCTTTTACCACAAACAGACCGACAGAAGGAGAGACATATTAAACAAGCTTAAATACAAACTTACAAACTAAAACGTAAAATGTCAACACTCCTGAACAGAAACCTAAAGCACACTGCTTAAAGCGAAAAGGAATGTTTTTTGAAACCATGTAAGTGTCACGCTAAAAACAAAGCCTGGGGGGGGGGGAAAGATAGATAAAACCTCACCTTGAAATTTTGTCCTGCACACACAGGTAGTGGGGATGTTTTGTAATATGCTAAGTCTATCGTCTCGCTTGACTAACACTGAAGTATGCAGTAAAACCTGTCTTGTCAACTGGACTTTAGATAAACAACCACATGTTTAAGCACTTTGTTTGTTAAGGGCAGAGTCAGTGGATGTTAAAATGTTGGTGGCGAAGGAAGTAGGGAGGGTGGTTCGTTACGTACAGGTTTAAATTATTTTTCGAGGTGAAACCACGACGACAAACAATTTTGCTTTCCAGTTAAGGTAACAGTAGAGGAAGAGGGGGTAACACCAAACTGAAAATTCAAAATAGCTGGAGAGGAAGGTGACACTCCCATATACCATACTGAATGACTCCCGACTTATGGCAGCGGCTGGATACAACAAAGTATATTTTAACATAAACACTTTAAAAACAGCGACAGTCATATTTGACTAGAATTTATTTCGCTAGTGTCATTAGACTGGTAATCGAAGCACGATAATTTTGACAGAAAGGCCATACAATTAGCTGCTTATGTTACGTTACCACAGTCTATTAATCAACTTTTGAATTGAACAATTCGCTACAGCTTTAGTTTAACCAATATTATATTTTATCAAATACGTCAAAGACAGCGCTTGAACAAAAAAAAAGAAATTATATCGAAATGATATAAATACATTTACTGATAAACTTAAAACATTATACATTTTTTGCAAATTCATCATCTTTTCTCGTTCGTGCTAAAGTCAAAAGGGTGAGTTGGAGTAGTGTTTATCTGTTTCAGTGACCTCAGAAAACAAGATTATAACGTGTCCAGCACTTTGCCTAACCGTCTTTGTTTCCCTAACGTAATTCAGGTACCCATCAGAGTTGGTTGGACTAAGAACTTCGAAAAGTCAGTACACTGAACCGAGATCTTTGGACTAGCAGCCAAGCGCTCTACCATTCGACCATGAAAACACCAATATATAAGGGATCACATTTTGTTAGTTTTATTAATATACCATATATATTATTATTTTATTATATTATATTATATATTATATTATAGTATATATTATGTATATATATATATATATATATATATATATATATATATATATATATATATATATATATATATATATATATATATATATAATATATATAATATTATATTTTATTATGCGTATTAGCGCTTGATGTACAACCAAGTGAGAACCATTTCATTGCCTGCCCCAGTTAGAATCTAATGTAATAGCACAGGTAAAACTGAGCAACACATTTAAGTCATAAGAATAGATACTATCAGACCCGAGGCATTATTGTGAAAACAAAAAAACAATAAAACATCTCAACCTAACCACTCAAGTGATGCAATGTTTTCATTGGCTGCAAAACAACAAAAGGAAAACCAATCGGTGACTCTCAGTGTTTTTATAAAACGAAGGAAAAAACGATGGTAACTATTAACGGTTATGCATATAGGTTGTATAGAACAGGATATTAAATTGTGCAGACCGAGAGCGATTGTAAAGAAAGCAACTCATTAGTCAAGACCGAAACTTTCATTTACAAGTAGCTTATTTAATGAAGTAAAAATTGATTGCATATATTTTAGGTTAAATAGCTTATGTGCAGTTTTTCTTATTAAAACAGTAGGCCTATACATTTTTAAATTAAAAAAAAAAAAAAAAAAAAAAAAAAAAAAAAAAAAAAAAATCAGTGTGAGGTTCTTGTTTTGAAGAGTTTATTTCTTTCTTCCACAAGAGGAAATGCCACTTCCAGGTGGAATCAGTTCATGGAACCTGCTCAGTGTTTGCCTTCTGTTCGTTGGGGTTGTCCTTCACATTGTAGGCTTGGCGACCCCAGAATGGTCAACGTCTAATGTTGATATATCATACAGCGTGGGCTTATGGATGGAATGTTTATATGGTTATTGTGTGAAGCACCCTCAGAAAAGTGGTAAGTTATAAAACATCAACAATTTGGTCATCTACCGACTGCCACTACTAGATGCATTACGATCAATTACATCAAAGGAGCATTGCTCGTTCTTGATGCTTTCAATTCACACACACACACACATACACACACACACACACATATATATATATATATATATATATATATATATATATATATATATATATATATATATATATACATATATATATATATATATATATTTGAGTGTGTATTTTTAAATTTAAATAAATACGTAGGCCTATAGAGAAAGTCTTGTTATCGTGCAAAAAAAAAAAAAATAGAGATTTTTACAAATCTCGACTTTTTTACACCTCGCTGATACGGAAAAACATAATTTTGCAATCTTGTCCGTATGTCTGTGTGTCTGTGTGTCTGTGTGTTTGTCTGTCAGTGTGTAAACACGATATTTTGATTTCCGTTACAGCTAGGTTGATGAAATTTCATATATAAGTATTTTATCAAAGTCGTAGATCTGTATCAACGTTTGAGCGATTTCCGATAACCGGAAATTGTACTTTTTCTACTTTGTATTTTTCAAGAGCCTATAACTTGGGTACTATTTCAGATAGATAAATGAAATTTGACATGTAAGTAAAAGATATAGATCTCTACCTTCTACCAAATTTTGAGTAATTTCCCTTGACCGGAAGTACTAATTTACGCTATTTCCGATTTCTCAAAAAACGCATGTAAATTTATAAAGAACTAATAATATTGCGCACTATTATGCACATTTTGTTTTGGCGTTAGCTTGGTGCGCAATTCTTTTTTTTTACTAGATTTTATTCTATTTTTAAAAGTTTAAGCAAACAAAAGCATATCTATATTTCGAGATGCAATCCCACATAGTGTTATATTAGATTCTAACCAATAAACGATTGCAACTAATACTAGTTCCTTAAAAAGCAGCAGTAGCCACCCTGTTAAACCATCCGTCAAATATAATTTGTTGTCAGTACTTATAACTTGTAATCGGTATTTCAAGGCAAGTTGGTTTTTAACTTATTACGCAATATATTAACCTTTTTCTTTGACTGTTTCATATTTTTGTATCAATTTAAAACGTTACCTGAGTAAGCTATGGTACTGGTCTAACAACATCCCTTGATGCTTATAACTATTTTTTAATAGACGAAAACAATGATTATTGTTTGAGAAATTCAGATCAACATTACAAATAACAATTTTTACTTTTGTTTTTAAGGTATTTTAAAATATACAATTGTTTATAAAAAATAGTTACCCTTTTTTAAAATGTGTTAAATTAATGGAAAACAATTTGTCTTTACAAGTTTACATTTGTTTAAAATCACAAGTACACAACTTAATAAATATTCTTGATCTGATTAAAAAATAATTTAAAATTTTTCAGCCGCTCTTGAAGCTTGCGAAGCCATGGCCATCATTGGCATGTTGTTCAGCTTTCTTGCTATAGCAGCGGTTGGGATTGGAATATATTTCAAAATCACAGGAACACCAACGGTAGCGAAATTTCATCACTTTGCAACAGTAATGTCCATCATATCACGTAAGGTTGTTTCTGTTGTTTTTTTTTAATCTTAAAGCAACATAATAACTTTCGTGTTGATTTTAACCTAATATTGTAGAATAAAAGAAAAAAAAGTTCCCATTTAGATCTAACGCTCCATATTGCAGATGAAGTAGAGTTCATAATGTGTAACCTCGGCATATATAGGGCTGGTAAGTTGGTCACCAAACAGTTCTACGGCTCAATAAAACATGCATGAGCCTAATAACTGTTTATTGACCTACTTACCAGCCCTATAGGGAAGGTACGATTTTCATTATATTCAGTCGTCTCTCTTTTACAAATAATGTGTTGTCAGAATAGAAATGCATTTTATAAATAATCATTTCGTACATGTTAGAGAAGTACATATTAAAATAAATATTCCTTCTATTTTGAAAACTGTATCGGGAGTCTCCGTTATTTCACATAATAGTTATTTTCAAAATAATCTTTTAGGACGCGACGAGCAGTCTTTCTTCTAGACTTTTTTCTCCGGGGGTGCACTTGAAATTTTCAGGGGGGGGGGGGGGGCGGATAACAGTTTTCAGGGGGGGCACTGTCAAAGGTATATATTTTCTATATAAATTCGCATTCCGTTCGGGAAGGGGGAGGGGCGGTAGACTTTCTTCGAGGGATGGGGGCGGTGCCCACCGAGAAGAGATGCCTGGAAGAAACCCTGGTGACGAGAGACAATTGTGACTTGCCACGACTTAATTGCGGTTGAAACCGGTTTACGGTGTAATTTATTTTAAATAGAAGTTAGTGCTTATAATGTTTAAACCAGCTACGGTAAAACGTTATCAACAAATTTCCCTAACAAGTAAATTATATATATATATATATATATATATATATATATATATATATATATATATATATATATATATATATATATATATACATATATACTATATATATATATATATATATATATATATATATATATATATATATATATATATATATATATATATATATATATATATATATATATATATATCCTTTTCAGTTGTGTTTATCTTGATTGGCGTCATAGTATGGGGAGCTGAATTGCACGAGTCAAATTATTATATGAAGATTGGCTATTCCTTTATCCTGAGTATCGTGGGCGGCATTCTCATAGCCATCGGAGGGGTGATGTACAGCTGTACTATTACTAATGTGGATTAAAAAAGACAACAGGCTTCATTAATTCAATACGTATCCTGTTCAATCAACTGTTTATATATATATATATATATATATATATATATATATATATATATATATATATATATATATATATAAATATATATATATATATATATATATATATATATATATATATATATGTTATACGTATTTTGTTCAGGCAACTGTTATATTACTTAACGAATTATTTTACTTGCTTTATATTTCGTTTTTTTTAAATTACTTATTGAATATTGATTAACAATGTAATTTTAGAAATATGTTAAGACGCTGACGGTCACTATTGCAAAGGAGTAGCTTTAACATGTGTTTATGACCGTGGGTAAAATTGAGTACCTACAGATAAAGCGCATGTTGATTCGAAATATGAAAATTTACTTGAGGTTTGTTTGTTTTTGATAACATATTATGCTGTCTTTCCTGTTCGTATTTTTTCGAGGTTCACAAATTATAAGTAAAAATATAAATATAAACAGCAACTTTGTAATTTCTTTTTTAAATACTAATATTAAAGAAATGTGTTTTGTTTATTAATTATAAGTAAAAATATAAATATAAACAATATCTTTTTGATGAACCTTTTAAAAAAGTAAATAAAAATAAATAAAAGAAACATGTTTTGTTTAGTAACTACAATTTTCGTTAAGTCAAATTAGACGGTTGTTTTTAAACTAAATTTCGACCTAATTTTAAATGGCTAATTTCACTAAACTCATTTGATTGCAAATTATATATTCGTGTGTTGTGTTTACAGACGAATATATCTGAAAAGTTTTTATAGTTGTTAAGGAGTGAGTAAAATTGAGCAACAAAATTAGGCCGAACTGAATGGAGACATTTTGAACAATCTTGAACTAAATGAAATCCTCCAAAAATCCCCGTGAATAAACGCGTAGGTCCCACACTCGAATGTAAAAATCTAAAATGAAATCTTCAATCACGACTATATGTATTTTTTAAAAGCCATACAGGATTGTCGCTAAAATCTAAGTCGGGTTGGGAGGGGGGGGGGGGGGGAATTTGATGGATAAAATCTCAACTCTTTCTTCTTGTCAACGCATATGTTGTGTTTAACCACGGCCAATCGTCTCGCTTCGTTTACATCGTATAGCGCTTTACAATCTAATATGTAAAAAGGACTTTAAATACAAGAAAATAAACGCGAGAAACATTTCGTTGTTTATTAAGGACCGAAACATTCAAGTTAAATTTTCGCTTCTACCACTGCCTTATCAAGCGTATTAAAACCTAAAGACGTTATGACTTTGATTATGCTTGCATTTAACATTTTCTTTCAGTGGGTCTTATAAACATATCCTTCTTTAATTTAGACACGACTTTCGTGTTCTTTCACTGGGTTTTATAAACATATCCTGCTTCAATTTAGACTTTCCTGTTCTTTCAGTGGGTTTTATAAACATATCCTGCTTCAATTTAGACACGACTTTCCTCTTGTGAAACATGGCCAGAGGGCTGAATTTGGTGGCCATTACGTATGATGTTTGTGGGCGTGTTTACGTTACGCGTTCTCGAAAACATTGCTTTCAGTTTTGACAGGTACAGGAAAGTCAAATTGAACACGTCAAGGTAAAGGGAGTGTTGGAGTAGCAACTAATCATCAGAATGTATGATTTTCGTTGAGGTTGTTTTTGGAGGGGAAGGTGTGGTGAAGAGGAGGGTGGGGGATGTTGAATTAAGTGCAGTTATTAATAGAAACATCCGCAACAAACATTTTTATTCGCCATGTATCTTTTAAGACATACCAACATCATGAATAAGAATATAATTGACAATAAACGTGTTTGGTTTTATTGGACAGCTTGGCCTAGCGGTAGAGAGCTAGATAGCTAATCTGAAAGTCTCGATTTTGAATCCGGGTTCAAG